TCAAACCTGCCAATTACTGGCAGTGTTACAATGTCTGTGGGCACAAATTTCTGCACCAATGTATGTTTTCATATCTATTTCTCACTTTAAATGAGTATAAACATAGTTAATTGGCAATTATAATACTTTGGAAAGTCTGAAGACCTGTTTTTAATAACCTCTAAACCAGCTGCCCCTAAGAGGTTTTCTTTCACCATTCTAAATATTTAGAAAAATATTGCTGAGCCAGCAATGTGCCCTTGTGGCTAGGAAGGCCAATGGCATCCTGGGGTGCATTAGAAAGGGTGTGGTTAGTCGGTCGAGAGAGGTTCTCCTCCCCCTCTATTCTGCATTGGTGAGGCCGCATCTGGAGTATTGTGTCCAGTTCTGGGCCCCTCAGTTCAAGAAGGACAGGGAACTGCTTGAAAGAGTCCAGTGCAGAGCTACGAAGATGATTAAGGGAGTGGAACATCTCCCTTATGAGGAAAGGCTGAGGGAGCTGGGTCTCTTTAGCTTGGAGAAAAGGAGACTGAGGGGTGACCTCATCAATGTTTACAACTATGTAAGGGGTGAGTGTCAGGGAGATGGAGTTAGGCTTTTCTCAGTGATGACCAGTGATAGGACAAGGGGTAATGGGTGTAAATTGGAGCATAGGAGGTTCAAGGTGAATATCCGAAAAAAAATTTTTACTGTGAGAGTGACAGAGCACTGGAACAGACTGCCCAGGGAGGTTGTGGAGTCTCCTTCACTGGAGACATTCAAAACCCACCTGGACAAGTTCCTGTGTGATGTGCTCTAGGTGACCCTGCTCTGGCAGGGGGGTTGGACTAGATGATCTTTCAAGGTCCCTTCCAACCCCTAGGATTCTATGATTCTATGAATATTGTACTTACTGACCCTTTTTTTTAGAGAAATAATTTAATGAAGCAAAATGGGTAAAGACTTGCCAACAGCTGATTGTCACAGGAGCAGGATTTTGGAGATCATTAGAAGAAATAAAGAACCATTTATGCAGAAGGTTCAAATCCTGCTCTGCAGGACTTTGGATCCCATCCTGTAACAAACCTGAATCATGAGGGCTCTATCCTAGAAGATAAATTATTAAATTAAATATATTGCTTTACCAACATTAAAAAAAAAAGTACAGGGAACTTTTATAATGAACAGGCATGTGACAAGCAGAAAAAAATATAGGTATTTTCTGGAGCTGGCTGTTTTGGAATAAAGGGGAAATGCTACATGCTTGACTTCATGTCTCCATATTTTTATCTTTTTTTTTTCCCCTCTTTTCGACTGTGTCTAAATTACCACTACCAAACTAACAGGGGTACAAAAAAAAAATTAAACACTCCTTATGAAAAGCTCAGACTTCTAGAACAAGAAAGTACACAACGCAGCATAAGGAAAGAGAATTAATGTTTGGTGTTATGTGATACCACTGGAAGCTAACAGTAAGAGGACACTTTTCAGAGGAACAACTGTTTCATGAGAAATGAAAACAAAACAGAACAAAACAACACAAAACAAAACAAAAAAACTCAAAAGCTGATTAAATACCTTATATTTGTATAAAACAAAAATTGAGCCTCTGATCCCATTATTAGAGATCCTGTTTGACACATCATATGTTCTTTTTTCTACTGTTTCTCTCACTTGTCTTACTTTTGTTCTTGTGTGTTTTTCATGTATAACTGTAAACAAGAGAAAACAACAGGCTTTACCTTAAACCAGTAACATATCTAGATGGGGCTCGAGTCATGCAGAATTTTAAACCACCCTGAGAATCCTGGGAAATCTGCTTTTAGTGTTTTATCTATTAGTACCCATTCAAAGGTTTCAGTTCCAGATTCAGGAAGATTTCCCTATTTGTGCCAATCATAGCCATGAGCCTCATTGGGTTATTGCTTAAAGTTAACTACCTGCTTCCTGCCATTCAGTGCATTCTTGTCAGAATATGATTTCTTTTTTCTATTTTTTTTTTACTTGTATTTTAGTAGTAACTCACTGTTATGTACCTACTGCTACATCCTAAATAATCCCATCATAAACCAAGTGTTATTGATTCTATCTAAAAATAATAAGTCCTCTGAAAAACAGCCAGTGGCTTTTGTGTATATCAGATGAATTGAAGAACACAGTAAGCAGGAGTTCTGCTAGTTTTGGGAGGGCTTCAGGATCTTTCAGGTTGGGTGAAAATGAGCAGAGTTTTTTCAGAATTATGGTTTGCTGAATGAGAATAACTTTGATCTTTGAAGCTGCCTAATTTATGTCTTAATCACCTTTTTTTTGTTGTTTCTCATTGATTTACAAACTTACAGCTTTACTTTACTGCCCAAAGTGTTATGTGAATTAGTGCATGCATGTAGGTTTGTTTCAGTAAAGCCCAATATGATAGGCTTGGTTTTAATGAAACGAATAATGAATAATCCTATTGTTAGAGTGAGGCATTCAAGTATACAAACATTTCAAAGTGAACTCCAAGGGAAAAAAAAGGCTGAGTTTTAAGTTAAGTTTATCCCCCAAAAATTTGCTGAACTGGAGCCCATACACAAGCTTCAGGTTGCTAAAACCTGCCAAGCCATCCAGACCTGAATCCCAAAATATATTCACGCCAGCTCTGCCTTCCACCTGAGGATCAAGATACACCCAGAATTCACATTTTGAACCACAGAAAGTTCAAAGACAGTTCTGGGCACATAAGTACTTGCAGAAGCAACTTCATTTGAGGAATGAGGTGTTTTGCTCCTGTCTAATCTTCACACAACTGAGATCCAAAGCAAGAATATACTACAGGAGGAATCTGAAGATTAAGTTAGTGGAGTCCATTAACTTCCCTCTTTCTTCTCTTTTATTAAGCAGTCTCCAGCTATTGATGACTTAAACATCCCTGGCATTCCCATTTTATTTGTACCCCTATGGGTTCTCTAACCCCCAGAGGTCGATCTCTGCCTGTAGTCAAAATGGCAATAGCTGTTGTAACCTTTCCTGATCTGGCCTAAAGTGCATCTTATCTGCCCTTGCCCAGCATAGAGTAGCAGCCTGGGCATTTTTATACAGAACCATAGTGGAGGATCTACTGTATATTTTTTTTTAAATCTAGTGGTTAGATTTTTATGCACCAGAAGATTTAAAAATCAAATAACTTTTAACTCACTGTTTTGACTCCCACTTCACAGAAGAAACTCCAAGTTGTCAGGCTACAGGAAAGAAAACTGACCACTCTTCTTTCCCAAGATGATCAGCAAAAACAAGATAGAAGAAGAGCAAGTGAAACCCAGTATGATGTGGCAACGTCATTAACAAGGATGTGTGGAAATGAGAAGCATGGGTTCAGTTTCTCATTTCCCTAGATAATTCAGGGGGTTTATTCAGTATGTAAAACATGAAAGCTACATTATTGCATTAACTGCAACATAATTAAGTGTCTGACTTAGAATATTTTATTTTAAGATAATATAACTACAAGTGATAATCTAACTGTAACCACGCAATCTGTGTAATTGAAATAGAGCACTGTGTTGGCAAAACATTAAACTGTTTCCTAGGTCTAAGCTGCATGGATCAAGTGAGCCACAATTGTAAAGCTTTTGCATTACCCTCCTGAAGATTCAATTGCAGCTGGTAGGGAGAAGGCAGTCACACTGAAGCAAGCTTAAATAAGTGTTTGTTGAAGAATGGCATGTTGTTCCCAGCTCTCTTGTCTAATTAAAGACCGAAAACATTATCCTACTGAAGCTGATGGCAGTAGTCACTTGACATCAAAGGGAATCAAGATTTTCCATTCTTTTATGAAGAATTCTTTTTATCATATTAAAAATAAGCAAGGCAATTCAGAGTGCATCACGAGGTAGCAATTTTTGTCTCTAGGTGATGACAGACACAAGCTCTATATTGCCTCAGAGCTCACACCTGAAGACTAGAGATCAGCTCGATAATGAAGTTGCAGAATCTGAATCAAGTTACAGACATCCAGACATACCAGCTGTGACTGAAACCCTGTCCTGCTGTGCAACTGGTGAACATGCTGGAAGACTGAGAAGCTTATAAAATAAACAGACGAGGATAAAAGATCTCCAAGGTGCAGACAAGAACTGAGGCAGGAGAAGTCTGGCTCAGCTGTAGTCACACAGTCGAGCTCCAGTAAAGCAGGGGAAAGATCCCCAGGTCCATTGCTGCAAATCTAGAGGGAGTATTTGGTTGCGGATGGCACTTCGATCTTCATGATAAAAATTTTGCTTGGATCTCCTGGCTTTATGCTATCTCAGGTCTTCTCTAAAATAATGAGAAAACAACCAAGTCCAAATACTCCTTTCTCCAAATTCTGTGCCTAGTGCTTTGTCATGGAGTGTAATTGAAACTAGCTTACAAACTCAGCATAAGTTCTTTATTAGTGAAAATACTGTGAAAAATGAGGGGCCACATCTGTGTCTGTGAAGTCATTGCTCCCAAAGGAGTGGGAAAACCAGGAAAGAGCCATAACTTTAATATTACTATAATATTGATTGGTTACCATTCTCTTGATGAAATGCTGAACAATAACATCTCTAGTAGTGCTATGGCGAGGGATTGGGGTGGAAATTTAATCAAAGACGACAGACATTTTCTTTCTCCACAAAAATATAACTTGCAATATTGGCAAAGACATATTTTTGCACAGTGTAGTTAGAGTTTCTGCTTTATTGTTATCTGCTCCTTCAGTCATAGTATTTTAAGATAACTGTAAATGAAAGTTCCATTGTGAAACCAAACTCTAGGCTGTGTTTTCTGTTTTAATGAGGATTCTTTCACAAAATATTCCATTATGGCTAATGAGACACTAGTAATGAATGTGCTAGAAAGGACAGATGGGAAGATTGTCAACTGCCTAAGTCAGAAGATTTTCAAGGTGCAGTAAACAAGTTATTAAGCACACTTCTCTGGCTTTATGCCAACCTATGCTGTAGGGAATTGGTCAAAGAGTGGATCATGAAAAGCTTTTTGGGAGCAGCTAAATTCTACAGCTGTGGTCTTTGTTTTTCTAGTACTTTGCAAGAACAGAAGGGGGAATTACGAAAACGTCTCTCGTACACTACCCATAAGCTGGAAATGCTTGAAACGGAATTTGATTCTACACGTCAGTATCTTGAAATAGAATTGAGACGTGCTCAGGAGGAACTTGAAAAAGTAACTGAAAAGCTGAGAAGGTTAGTAACTAACTTTATGAAATAAACAATTATTAGGAATTTACAAGTGGCTGTATTACAAGACATATGTAAATAAGAATACAAGCATATAGTCTCAAACATACATAATTTATTATTAATTGATTACAAATCGTATTTTCACATTCAGTATACGTATTCCATCTCTCTGACTATATATTACATACAACATGAAGTTATTTACAAGTGATATGTAAGATCTGTCTGTATTGAAAGCAAATATGCAAATAGAAATATACGTATGTAAGTATGAATGATACAGGATATCGTATTGGATATCGTATTTCTGTAAACATACATGTAGGTTAGTGCCATGTTGTGTTACACATATGAAGGCTATAAGTATACTACACACATAGTTACACAGCATATTCACAGATGGATTTCTTTTAAATGGTTTGGCTGAGAATTTTCAGTTATTACACTCCATTGCACTGGTACAAGAGAAGAGAATGTGGCCTATATCATCCAAAGGTGAAGCTGTGTTAAATCCAAATAGGATTATGATATTTCACATTATGCAATAGCAAATCATTAGCTTTTTAGTCCCAAGTAGAATGGAATTATATTGAAAACCTAGTATTTTAATTTGTTGTAGCTGTGGTACAGCACTATTGCAAATCAGGGGCCCAGTTAACATTAATGAAAAAAAATATAATAATAAGCATATGCTCCTGACATTCCTGGCTCTGATTCAAATTATCTGTAATCTAGGTTTAAATTCACCACTCTTAATATCCATTTTTTCATTTGTTTGCAAAACTTCTCAACACAAAATTATCTACTTGTGCAGCACTGTATTTGCATTTCTTGTGAGGACTTTCCTAAACTCATATGGATAACTGAACTGTTTGATTTAGTTCATTGGATTAGTCAAAATTATATTCAGAATTAATCATTCCAGGGCTATACCTAAAGAAATATATATTTGTCCTTTGCAGAAGGCAAAAAACAAACCAAAGCCTGAGACAACCATTAAATGGAGTCAATATTAAGTTATGCAAGTTTTAAACAGAAAGAGGCTATAAGATCTCAAATTAGCAAACATCCTAGTGTGGTCTTATAACTTAAATGCTTCCCTAACTGGGGAAGCTTCTTCAAACAAGGCCAAAATAAGCAGGTATCATGATGAACTTAAATCTACACATATCTATCAGGAGCAGTCTGAAGACTCTCCATATTGTTCTCTTTCCAACAGTGTTTTTCCTGTCACTTCACTTGGAGCAGAGCTATTGAAAGTAGCTTTGGTCTTGATAGTTTTCTTCCAATCTATTTCATCTTTTAGGACAGGGAATGCTGGTACTCCTTCCTCCTGAAACATTATTTCAGGGACAGCTACCATCCTTCCTGCATCATATTTAGCAGAGGGGTTGACAATTCCACTTCTGTTAAAGTCAGAAGGAAGTCTCTTATCAGTCTTAATTGGGCCCTGATGAGTTAAACATCCTTCAAAACCCAAGCCTGAAAGTCTGGTTTTTGCACGTGTAGCACTCATACCAGACTTCAGATGAGTAGAAGTGACTTTCCAATATTCTAATGGAGCACTGTAAAATATCACAAAAAATCTTACATTAAAAATTATGTTTCAGGCAGGTGATTACTCCCCTGAAGACATATCATATTGGAAGCCAAAATATTTTATGAGGTGAGCTTTAAAAATGTTTCTATTGAGAATTGCAAGGGATACTGCAAGTTGAACAACTAGATTTCTCAACCTGGAGAAGGATATTGTCTGAAACAAAACTGTCACCCAAAAGCGTGTCAGCAATATGTCACAGAGGAAAATTAGTGTGAGAAAAACAAGGAACTGTAATTAGCTTCAATATTGTGTCTCTTGCTTTATTCAGTGCATAGGGAGAGAAATTCAACCCCCTAATAAATAAACCCTGTGTAACACAATCCCACTTGTGTACTAGAGAGCATTTTTGTTATTAAACTTCAATTACTGTTAGGTGCAGAATTTTTCCAAGAGACTGAATGCCCATTCTTTTCTACTCCTTTCTGAAAAATCTTTATTGCCTTAATTTATCCAGAATTACCTGTGCTTTTAGGCCTCCTCTTTGTTACCTAAGCAGGGAGGTTATTTATGTGGCTCAATTGGCAGATTTTTGACCTCACTACAAACGCTTAGAGGTCTTTTGCTTTGGGTCCAGTGGGAGCAAGATCAGGGCAGTGTTGAGTGGGTTTCAAAATATTAACTCTAAAGTGTTGGTTCAGCTTTGAAAAGCAACAGAAGAGAGACTAGAGACTGGGGATTTCATATACCTCACAGTGATCTCCTGTATGATACGAGTAGCATGGTGGTTTTAAAGTTAAAACTAAATAAAAAATAAAAAATTAAATCAGATATCGGTCTTGGAATGTAAACTGATCTTCAAAGATCATGCTGGGTTTTCTGCTTTAGACCCTACCCTGGGTGACAACCTGGTGAGGTCCCCATCTTAGCTTTTACCAGAGAGTAATTTTAAGACATGAGAAATAAACTTGTACAAGCATATATTTAGCACTGAGATTTGTCCCCAGACAGAATTGTTTCACCAAAAAAACAAGACATTTCATGGACTGAAGGGTCTTCTGAACAGGAATCCTGTGGCTGTATTAGCTTTGGAATAAATGAGGGTAAAACACTCTTGTTTTCATAAGGAAGATGTAAGTTGTGTATGATAACAGAGGGGGAGAAAGTTTTTTGAACAAGTAGTTTGTGTTTTAACACTCACCAGTCAAAGTTAAACTGCACTTTGGATGAAATTCTCTTCCATAGATAAAGTCAGCCCAAACCTGTGCTTTACTTTACGTATATTTCATGGTCTTAAAAAGGCTTGAGCCTGAGTGAAAGCAGAAAGGCAGAGCCTTTTGCAGACTTCCTCTTTGGTGGTGATCTGCAGTCTTAAGAGAGGAGTGTGTTGTCTGCTGTGTGAGTGCACAGATAGGTAATGTTCAATTTGGTCAGAATACTTTTCAGCAGGCCCTAATTTATTCAAGAATCTAGCGTGCACTTAATGCATGCACATATATGTACCTGGAGACACCTAAGTATCACCTAATAATATGAACACTAAAAGCTATCAAAAATTATAAAGTTACAGATTAACAGGAGTATATTCTTAAAACAGTTTCACAGGGTGGTCAATCTGATCTATTCTTCACTTTATCTACAAATAAATCAGATTTACAATATTCAAAAGTTTCATACTTTGCATGGTTCAGCCTATCTGGGTGTATTTTTTCTGCAAAAAGAGTTAAAATACCATTTGCTCATCTGATAATTTTCATATTAGAATAATTTTCCCTACTTCTCTTTTATTTTAGAGTGTTGCCCAAAGTTTGACATGATTACCATCTTCCTCTTTTATCCCTTTAAATCCCTTTCTTTCCTATATTTCTAGTCCATTTATCTCCTTGGCATCTACATTTGCTGACACTTCTTTTGGCACAGTGGATTTCCAATTTGGTTTTATGTGTATTTGTGCATGTGTATGTGCTTGTGTATGTGTGCACGTGTTTGTGCTTATTTTGACTAACTTTTCATAAAGTTCTCAATAGAAACACTTTTTGAAGCTCAGTTTCCTACTTACCGTGGATTTTTATGTTTAGAAAGGATTTGATTTTACTGAGTAGTGGTCAATAATTTCCAGCGCAAAATTAATGTGTTAGAGAGCTAAAGTCTGTGGAATACTGTCACCTAAACATACAACAGAGGATAACTTGATGGGTAAAGACATGACAAGTTACAAGGAAAGAAGCTGATCGTAATAAGCTCATGAAAAACCCCTCTACCAACTACGGCACGGAAGTGGTGTCAGCCAAGAACAATTATATTAATAGTAAACAATCTTCCGGTCATCCACATTAAAGAGAAAAACGGAAGGTGAGGAGCAAAGCCAGTGATTCATTCCCACCATCTTAAGCCAGATATCCAATTCACTACTGCTGGCAATTCATGCTCTTAAAGATATGGAAAGGGAACCTTCAATGTCTTCCTAGAGCTCTCCACGTAGCTCTATACTGCAGGAGAGATTGGGGTACAAAGAGGCCTGAGCTATAAAAATCTTGAACAGGTGCTAGAAGTTTACATTGGATTTACACAATCTCTAGTTGGACCACAAGCTGCATAGGTGCAAAGCATTTTTAACCTGTTCTACTTTGCCTTACTAGAGAGAAACCACAGACCATGACAGACAAGATACTGGGGCACCTCTGGGCTCAGCCAGCAGGCCCATTCTTGTTCCCTGCACAAAGGCACACAGCTTCACCAGAAAAACATAACTACATTAGTGCTGAGTAGCTGTTTGCAGGCAAAGACAGTTTAAGTCTTCTTGCTTCCACAGGTTCACTAGGATCCCCTCTGCCTTCTCCTTTGCCATGAAAAGCTGGGTACAGGGTACCCTAAGGTTTCTCTCTGTTGTGTTGACTCTGTGAAAATACCAATTATACCTAGAGCCTATACAGAGGCTTAGTAGCACAAACTGCATCTAACAGAAGCATGGACAATGCAGAGATCCATAATCTTTGGTCAATCCTTTGAGTCACCCAGACATTTACACAATGGCACTGTGAGAACTGGTGAGTAATAACCAAACTGTAGGTTAGCACAAGTGTCACAGATTTTCCACCCATTTTGGGTCACCACCTTAGCAAACACTTTACCACAGAATCTCTTTACAGAGTGGAAATCTCTGCTCATCAGCTCTATAAAACATATATGATGCTGAACCTTCTCCCATGCCTGCAATGCACATTTGTAGCAGCTGCCCTGAGTCTGGGCTACCCCTCAGTACTCCAGGGACTTTCACCTGTGGGGATGTCATTATCACAGCAGCTCTCCTCGGCACAGACCTCTCCTACCCAGCCCCTTTAGATGTTGTTATGGTATTACTGGGAGTCCCAGCGGGGCTCTGCAAGGGGCACTGCAAGCTGCTGGCCTGCCCCTGAATGGAGAATTTTGATCATTTAACTGGAAAGAAATTCTCCATGGCAACAGAAGCAGGGAGAGACACTTCACTGCCAGGAAAGGGTGGGCTGGACCCCTCGATTTGCAGCCATGGTGTGGCTCCAGTGCAGGTCATTCTGATCTCAGCAGCCACTCCTAACCATACAATCAGTCAAAGAGACCTTCTTAATCCCAAACCCTTCCTGATCATCATGGAAACTATATCCAGACTCCGGCTTCCCAGAGGAAGCAGCTTGCTGCTGAATGAGTGTGTATTACATATGAGTTCACTCATAGTGGACACGCTTGTCCATTACCTAAAATCAACTCACCACTGAAAATACTTTGCCCCGTTGACCTATGATTCCCAGTACAAATGTATAGATGCATTAAGACAAACTTGTCACAGCTGAAGTTCTAACATTTGCTTTACAATTGTTATACATCCTGCTGACGTGGTGTGTATCAAGAAGAAACAGGAGCTAGCCTCCTTATCTTCTGTGAGGAGAAAGGCACAGCTACTACCAAAATAGTAATGTTTCCCACACAGGTTACACAGTTTGTTCATTACAGTACCAAGGTTACCATCTAAGCAACCTAAAGTTACACAGATTGAAGGTTTTCTTTGGTGTATTGCTCTGGAATGAACAGGGAAGTTTTATTTGTGAGTCCATTCATGCCTCAGTGTTGATAAAAATAAACATTCACCTTTTCCTCAATAAGCTATCTAAATGTATTTCCTGAAGAACAACAGTGTGTTTAGCTTGAAATGAGGCAATTTCTTGGACTTCTGTCAAAAGAAGGAATATTCTCTTCCAAGTCATGTGGTGATCCCTGCATGTTGCTTTTGTTATGGTCATTAGGTTTCTGCTGCCATTCTCCTTATTAAGAGAGCCCCATAAATCTTTTTCTGTACTTTCTAACCATACAGCTCAGGCTTCCTGACATGTTATTCCTGAGCCTGATATAAAGCTACAATCTCTCTGTGCAAGTTCCCACACTGTGATGCATGTCTGCACACAAGTGCAGAACTACAAACATATTTTTCACTTCCTGATGGAGTTTGCCATTGAAAATAACAAGGAAACATGACAAAGAATTTTGCTCAGGAAGTAGGTGGCAATTGCATTTCAAAGGAAACCACTGACTGGCAACAAGATTGATAAGAAAAGAGATTTCAAGCAGTGCAAGACAAGGTTCTGTACTGATGTTAAAATTACAGGTTAAAAAAGAAACAACCTAAAAACAATGCATTCCATTACATTATATCATCTTTGTTTTAGGATACAAAACAATTACCTAGCCTTACAAAGAATTAATCAGGATCTGGAGGATAAACTTTACAGAATGGTAAGTTATCATAAGTGATTTTTTAAAAAAAAAATATTTTGGTTTTACGATTCATAAGTCATAGGACAAATGTGTATGTAGCTGTAACAAAAAAACTTCTCATGCTCCAAATTCAGTATGCTTTAAAAAGATATATAATTTTGTCAGTAACATGATCTAGTGTTCAAGCTACATGTGACATTATAGCTCCATCAAGTTAAATGGAGATTGCATTGGCTGGTGATTTGTCTGAGTAAGTTGTACCTTTAAAATAATTCTGGTTAATTTAGTTAATAACTTCATGGGTTTAAAATATTTATGTTTTCATTAAGTAATTAATTTAAACAAGGTAATCCAAAGTTTTCTCATGCTTCTTAGATGCTTTCACTCAGCTTGTATTAAGTGATATAATAGAGCTTGGATTGTCTGACTTTTATATGCTGTCGTAACTATCAATCTCAGTGTATTAATCTCTGATCTGCATGTGTCTATAACTGCAACGTCAATGTCAGTATCACGGGCTAATTAGCAACTAAGAGAGGAAATCACTGCGTCATTTATGGGCTCTGCATCTAGGACTAATATTATAGGACACAGCACCACTCATTCAAAATATTTTGATGTTAAAATGAAATAGTAACACCTTTAGTGCCCTGCTCATTGCTAATGTTGCAGGAACATCACACTCATTGCTAGGGGAAAATTCACAGAGAAATGTTAAGGGTAATATTGACAGAAAAAAATAACTTCCAAAGACCTTCAGGTCATGAGCACAGCCTGAGCTGTTTCCCTCCCCTCCTGGCTCAGTAAGGTCAATTGTTCCCTTCTCATTGTCCTGCCCAGCCCATTCAGTGTGCACACAGGTGTTTTATTGCTCCGAGCAGAGTCCTGATGTACAGCTGTAAGGATAAGGGTACATTTTACACATCTCATGTGTAACATTTGCGTGGGTGGGCAGCTTAAAATGAGGGGGACAGATTATTGTGCTTTGAGAGTAAATAGGGATTATGGCAACATATGGGAGAGACTAAGAAATGGGAAATGAGTTTTTGAAAATGTCGTGTTTCTTATCTCAGGAGTCAGTTGTAGAAGCTGATAATGAATAGAATACTGATGGTTTTGTAACTGCTTGTAACAACAGACAAGAGTTACAGCTGGGTTATATCTCATGTTTGTTCATAAATATATAAAAACATGTACAAGCATAAATTACATTTGATCTCATGTTATTGTTCCTTTTCTTCACTTCTTTGTTACATTTTTTTTTCCTTTTACCCAAATCACATTAGGATTTTATTTTCATCTGTGACCTCCTATTTATTCCATATGCACCAGAAAAGATAAATAAAATAGAGGCATTCTGACTGGTAAATTAAATAAAATATTGGAAACATAGAAAGAAAGACTCCAGAAATACTTTTTTATCAGGTGTTTCAGATCAAAGCAAAGGCTTTTCAAACTGATGTTTCAGCATCCACTTAAAATCCTGAGCAATCATTTCAGAGTACAGCACAGAAAAAAGAAGGCTGGTTCCTCAGAGTACTGTACCATTCTTTATCCCACTAATATGACAGTTATTGAAGGTAGCTTTAGAGGTTTGAAGAAGATCAACCAGGCTCTACACCGCTTACCTCCAGACCTCTTTGCCTTCTGAAACACTGAAACTGAAGATACAAAACAAAACAAAAAAAATGTCAAATAGAAATTCTATTAGAAACAAAAAGATGGGGAAAACAGTACCATGTTCGATTTAGTTAAGCCAAATAATTTGATTTTCAGGGCACTCCAAAACCCCTCAATACTTCAGATAAAGTCGGCTTAAATAACAGCTGGTCTGGTTAATCAACAGCTTATGGTGGACTAGGCTCTTGGATACCTTTCTCTCCCTTTCCTCCTTAGGAGGAACAGCTGTGGGGGTTTTTTTGTTTGTTTGGGTTTTTTCTTTTGTTTTTGGTTTGGTTTTTGGGGGTTTTTTTTGTCTAATTTAGTCAGTTTGACATTCCAAAATCAAAAGCCTTTGATTTCTCTACCTTTATACAAATCCAAAAGTCTAAAAAGTGTTGAATTTCTCCCTCTCTCTCCCCTACCCCATCCCTCTATACACACATAGGTATGTATATACACACATGCATTTACTCAGATTCTTAGTCAAGTTTTGACCATTTAATATATCCAAATGCTATAAGAAGGGAAAAAGAAGACCCCTGGGTCAGTGGTCCCTTTCTTCTCCTTCCTGCAAGTGACCTGGGATGCTTCCATGAGACCACTTTCTCCCTGCCTTACAGATGACCCCACAACCTCCCATCTCCTAGTGACTGGCCCCAGCTTGTCACCACTAATCTAGGACTCCAAACTCAGCCTCCCTCTGCTAGTGTTTTTGGATATCATGAATGTTAAAACCTTTAATACCTGCTATTGGTATAAAGAATGTGAAAATTAATCATTAATTCATCAGCAGTCACAGAAAAGAAACTGAAGTAGCCATTATTTTTATTCTAGGCTCTGCTTTCTTCTGAGTGCTAATCTATGAAATACTCAAAAGTATTTGAAAACACACTGCTGATAACAGGAAATAGTGTCCAGTTGAAACCTCTGGCATATCAGAACTCAAAAATATAAAATATAAAACACATTGACTGTGTTGGTTAAGAGCTAAAAAATTAAATCTTTGGGGAGTGTGATATATTAAACTGGACAAGACTGAACACATGACACGGTAGAGGTAGATGTAGGACAGAACTAAAATTCTACTTTCACTCCTCATAAAACTCCTGTTCTTACCACTGTAGAATAATTAACTAGAGATTTGTTCAGTCTTAAAAGCACTGGTTAAGCAAGGGTATGTACAGGCTGTCTTCTTAAATAATTAAGCTTTAAAACTTTTCTTCCATTAAGATGGGGGGAAGGACTAAGCAGAGTCCTTAAATTTTGCACTGTGACTCCATCACAGGACTGCTTAGTTGAAGAACTTTTTACATTAACAAGCTCAATGGTCATCCTTGCTTTTCCTGGCACTGAGCTGAGTTTCCTGAAGATGCTCTGCTGTGTTCTTGCTGTCCACAACCAGCAGCTACAAGTAAGTTATGCAAGTCATCCTAACCACATCTTGAGAAACCATTTTTATTATCTCAATCCAACTGTATCCCACATGTAATTCTCACTGGAATCAAGCAATGTATTTTTAAAAGTTTCTGAAGTTTTAGGGCTTTCAGTTGTAGTTGATTATGTAATTTTACCTTTAAAGCCACAAACCAGATTGTTAATGATGCCTACGTCCGGGAATAATTGTTAGGCACCTAATCACAGCTGCTTAATAAGCTTAACCACTAATGAAAATCACACCCATTTCTCCACCATCTGCATTTTGAATGTTCTTGAAACACCTGATCTCCGAAACACAGCTTCAAAGAGCTCATGAGACCATATTCTCCAGAAACACTCTAAAGTATGTCTTTTGTAACTAGAAAGTAAGTTTGACAGCCAGGCTGCTCAATGGCATGAGTTCACTTCCCATACAAAGTCCTTCAAAATGCCAGAATGTAAACCTTTGTTCAGTCTAAAACACATGCTATCTGCATCTACTACAAAAATACAAAGGCAGCACTGGAGGTGGACAAGAAAGGTGACAGCCTTGTGGTAATGAACAGAGCCTTCTGACGACCAGGGGAACCAGCAGATAAATCAGTCCACCCACTTTGTAAACCCTTACTGTTTTGGTCAGCCAAACCATTTCTATCAAGACTGCTGCCAACTCAAAACCTCTGGTTCTTCAAAGTGGTGTTCCCCAGTCCTCTTGGGTTTGGTTCTGTTTATTCCCTCTCAGTCCTGGTTCAGGAACTTTTGGCAGCACAGGCAATACTGAATGCTGTCCAACATGAGGGATGTGACTGGACTCCTACACTCTGTAGTATAAGAGATGCTGGGCAGCAGCTCCACCAGTCCCACCAGGCTCCCTAGCACAGCCCCAGCCACTGGGGCTTTGATTCTCTTCTCTGCAAAGCCAGCATTGTCCCTCTGCAGACAGTGCATGATACATTTTATCATCTATCAATAGGAAAACCACTACACCACATCAATGTCTGATTTTTCACTTACACTGGGGCAGGTTGGGGGATGTGACAGTTATAAGAAATAATTATATAAATCAGCAGTGAAGAGGGATTTGTGTTCAGGATGATCACTGCACTATCTGAATACTGCACTGGTTTTATCCTGTTTCTTCCACTACCTGTGAGCTGGAGGAGGATTAAGATGTACAGCAAATAATTGATGCTCTATGTTATTAACAGTTATTAATCCAGGTCTTGAATACCTGGGTCTTTGCAGTCTGGTGGCTGTAATATATACCTAAACATCTCCAGCTGGGGAAATCCAAAGATGAAATAAATATGAGCTGAGCAATTTTCAAGTGCTGCCTTGAGAATTTTTGTCAGGGGGATGTTATTTTAAAGGAAGAAGCTTGATGGGTGTCCAGGCTGGAAAGGTAAAGATTATGGAAAGTGCTGAGGAATTCAATAAATTATTTCAGAAAGGTATGAAAATCATCTAACTATCAGGGTGAGCCTCAATCTTTGGCTTTGGAATTAAAGCAGTCACTAGATTGGACCTGATTCTCCTATGACAATTATCAGTCACATCCTAATATGGTTTAAATCATAAGTGAAAGATGAAGGCAATTGATAAAAAGCTTGTTTCTGACACGAACCTAAGGAAAACAAAACCCTGGGATGTTTAGGTTCCTGCATGAATTATTACTTTGGCAGTGGCTTTAAGTGGAGTGGTTTGAAGCAGATCTTTTGCATTTTCTTTCCTCTATGAGGAAGAACTTGCTTCCCACTCCTACTGTATGTCCCATGAAAATCAGATAGAGAGGACCTAAATATACTCAAAAGGATTTGCATCCCAAACACAAGAAAAGTTTAGAGTCAGCTCAACCTGGAAAGCTCATTTACTCACATTCAGTGAAGACAGCTGTGAATTTCAAGATAAATTTATACTGGTTGGTTAGTTAAGACAGGAAC